CCCCAAAACCCCAAAACCCCAAAACCCCGTCTTATTATCATTTGCTTCAAATTATAGAAATTAAAATTAAAATAAAGAAAATTTAAAAATCAGCCATCTTCCTCATCTAGCTTATCAACATCAGACTTAAAGTAATAAAGCCCTTCTTTTTCCCAGACCTAAGCCCTCTTTTTTGGTGGGATCAGTTTTAAGCAAATATATAATAGCTAAGCCTTAGTTAGATATCTTTCAATCATTGATTCTTTAACTACATCAAAAGCTGTTTTATTTGAATTAGTTTTATGCAATGGAACTGCACTTGCAGCCAATAGTAATTTAACGCAGGCGAAATTACTCTCTTTAGTCGCTAAATATAAGGCAGTTCTACCTCCCTTTAAAAAAATCAAAATAATTATAATTACCATATCCACATGATTTACATTTGCCCCATTTTAAATGAGTAAATTTACTATATCCTTATGATTTCTTTTTGCAGCCCAATGAAGAGCAGTTTAATTTATGTGATCAAAGTCGTAAACAAAGTACTTATTGGATTATATCATCTATTGGACTGCCTCATAATCCCCACTTTTAGCTGCATTAATGAATTTTTAGGAGCCAGGTCTCTCATATGGCTCAGTTGGCATTACGTTATCACTTATGAATTACTTTAAATCCATTTTCATATCAGTCAACTATTTTGCACATTCAAGGATCTTATTTTTGAATCGTTTTTTTACTAGCAAGTTAGATTATTTTCCTATAAAACTTACATTTCTTCATTAGAACGTTTTCTAAGAGAAAGTTTTTCTCCTTAATTAGATTTTTTTCTTTGAATACAGCTCTGACTTTTTCCCATGGTTCCTTAAGAATTTTCTTTCTTTCTCTTAGGGCCTTATTAAATTTATCATCAAAGATGTCGTTTTCTGTTACAAAGTTAACCTTACCTCTAAGGTCTCTAAAATCTTCTTTGGTTAAATCAAACTGTATCCTGTTATTTTGTTCTTAAAGGTCTTTGATTTCTTGATTTACTATCTAAGCTTTTTTGTTTGACTTACCATTTTGCACTTCTTCGTTTTCCTTCTTAGCCATCTCCTCTCTCAAGTATTAGATGAGGTGAGCTTCATCAATACTTTATATCATTCTTTCGAGCTCTAATGAAAATTATTTGGTTTTATCATCAAGTAAATTTGCTCGCTTTTCTGCCAATATTTTTAAAGCTTCAGGAACAGATATTTAAGTTAAATCAACTCTGTTTATTATCCTTTATTTGCGCAGTCTTTCTCTTAAATCATCATCCTTCTCTTGATCAAGAGTTCTGCTTTCCAGGAAATGTTTTTATGCTCTTCTTTCTTCAATTTATTCTTAGCTTTCTTTTGATGGAGATGATCCAATCAAATTTCTCTCATGAATTCTCTATTCTATTTGCAATTTTTGTACTACTTCATCTGGTATAAAATTTTAAATAGGAGAACTACTTAGTCTTTTTTAATTAGATGTGGTTCTTAGCATTTATCTTGAATGACTGTTTACGAGCTAAAGAGATGTATTTGGTCTCATTGTGCTCTGTTCTTTGATTTCTTAATTGTAAAATTTATTTGCAGTTTTTGGAGGTTTCAAAGGATTGAGAAAAGCTTTCTAGGAAAAACACTTGACTATTCTCTGCTAAATATCATGCAATGAATAGCATTGAGAATAAGAATCAATGTTGTTAAGCATTTTATGGAATCCTTTTTAATTAATCTCACTTGCTTTTTCAAAAAATTTTGATGTGCTCTAAGCCTAATAATGCTTTGAATTTTGAATAGAATTCAGTCTTATCATTGATTGGCTATTTGATCCCACTAACCCCATTGACACATTTTTATGGGAATAATTGTTTTCAGAGATCTAATCAATCATTTAACTTTATTTGCTTGTGGATTGCTATCTAACCTCTATAAAAGTTAAAAAAATCAAGATTACTTTTAGTGAACCTCATTTTTACTGAAGGAGTTATCCTAAAATTTGCTTCAAAACCAGGACCAAGTCTATGATTTTAATTAGCTTGAATATTGATTTATTTTTTCCGCTTTAAATCATCAGGGGTCATTATGGCTGCTCCATAACGCATCCTATATTACTTCTATTCTGTCATGTCTTAGTTAATTCAATAAATAAATATCACCATTACTTGATTTATGAATGAATTTTATCCTAACGGGGTTTTGGGGTTTTGGGGTTTTGGGGTTTTGGGGTTTTGGGG